TTGGAATGAAATACAAGTGTAAAAAAATTTAACTGTAAAACCCCCTTTACTATTCAAATGTGTCTTAAAATAGTGAAAGTGCAGACATTTAATATAGCGTATCCTTGCATTAGCTTAGGTTCTGTGCACTTCTGTGCACACTGTACTGATTTTCAATTCACCACAAACAATGATACATGGTGTCACAGGCAGGCTTTCCACTTGGACTTCTTTTGCCAGACATGTTTCATCAACATAGTGGAAGAGGGTCTCCTCTTTTTCATCGAAATAGGAGGAGCATTATATCTTTCAGGTCTTCTGAGCAGCCCTTCAGCTGTCCCCTCTGCATTCGAAGCTTTATGACAGCCTCCAAGACACGCTTGCTCTTGTCTGCACAAGTGGCTTTCAGAAAGTCCAGAAGCCATTTTCCCTTCTTTTCCAGACTGGTGAGGAAAGTTTCTTTCAGCGGTACCCCAGTAAGTTCTTCAAAATGGACTGTCATTCCAATCGCCTGAAACAAAAAAGGCTACTCTTCTTTGAGGGTTTGCTGTTTATTGCTTTGCGCTGAGAGTAGTAGGTGCATTTCATTAGAGTTTTTACTTCTTCATGACTGAAGCTTGTCTGTTCACTGAGAATCTTCATACGTTCTTTCTTCTGCTGGGTTTCCAGTGTCTCACTGACTGGCAAAAACTTCATGTCCCACTTTATGCAGCCATATGTGTCTTGAACAGATGCTCGCTTTTCAGGTGTCACTTCATCAGTGTCATCTGATCCTCCCTGTTTGCGCTTCTGTAACACTGGTGAAGTAGACCTCTTCACATTTTCAATTCGTGCCTGAATCTGTTTTACCAAAGAGTGGTACCCCTGTCCTACCACATCCCCCTCTATGACATCCTGCAGTGACTTGGGATACAACGCAACCAGTTTTTTTGCAATTTCAGTCGAGGCTCTTCTACTTGGAGAGGCACAGGCTTTCATCATCTCCTTCACAATGATGCGGATCATCTCCCTCCGCAATCGAGGCGTTGGTTTTTTCTCTCTCTGAAGACACTGGATCAAGTCTTCTGGAAAATCTTCACTTGGAATTCTAAAGTTATCTACCCAGTCTAGAGAATATATTGGACTGGGTGAGGGGGAGGCAGAAAATGAGGAGCAAGAAGATAGAGACGATATGCTGGCCTGGCTTGAAATTTCCATATTTGGTGCTGTAAAACAATATCACAAACAATAGATTAATTGTACTTTTTGGACCTTGGCCAAAGCATAATAGAAAAAACAGAAAGCCCTTCGTGGCTATTGTGCAATGAAATCATAATACTTACTGGTTTGTTTCCAGGCAGCCAGCAGTTTTCTTGCCTGAACTGGTCTCAGGACAGAGTTCAGATCAGTCTCACTGATGAACTGCAAGTCCTCAGATGTCTCCACTCCTAATGATTGTAGTGCCTCCAGTACAATTTCAAGGATTAAGGCCGACAGGTCCGGCAGCACCTTAGTAATGGAACTCCTTATGCTGCCCCCCATTTCCGAGATGTCTGATAAAAGAATGTGAATAAAGGTCAATTTACACCAAGTGGTACCTTTGGTCTTAAAACATGAAGCTGATCTTGCTTGATACTACACTTTTATACAGTGTTTCGTAAGTACCAAACTAACAGCACCATTATTGTGACAGCACACTGTGTTTCAATGGAACCATTTGGTACCCATACTTCATGTAAGATGTTAATGGATAGAAATCAATTAAGTCAATGATGTTCACACACTGCATCTTTTCTTTTTCCTTTCTTACTGAGTGCAGATGATACTGAGAATGGTATTCTGTAACGTGCACCGACACCAGAAAATAAACACTGTCATTCTTAATCAAAATGAGAACTACTTCTCCAAACTCAACAGAGTCAGAGCCCCCTGTGACAAGGAAGTGTCCTTTCTTGTACTGTGTTCCCTTGTACATCATTTCTACTGTGACCTTTGTATTGGTTTCAGTAAAGTCCAACATTTGAACTGCTTCTTGAATGGCTTTACTGTACAGCACTGAGTAAAATGGAGAACCATCTTTGACTTTCAAGACAGACTGCTGTCCCTGCTGCAAGATAGGCTTGAAACATCTGATGTCTTTCAGAGAGTGTATGGCAGAGGTTTTTGAAATTTTTCAGATTTCTGGCACACCTCTTGAAATAACTGTGCTTACTTTCAAAGCGCATTGTCCATAATCTTATCAGTGGGCCAAATTTCAGAATCAGTGCTGGGTAATGGCGTAGAAAATGGTGTTTTGGTCTCAGGTTGCATTCTGGGAACAGAGCTTTTCTTGACTCTAAATATTCTTGAATAAGAATATCAAGATATGCTACCTGAGCCACTGAAATTTTCTGAGCACACACCATGTCTACAATATCTTTCAGCTGCAGAGTTAAGTTCCACACATCATCTGTGGGGTCTGTCACTATGTCACCAACTATGAGAGGCAGCAATTGGAGGAAGTTCCAGTTCTGTATAGCCTGTCCTGAGAGTTTAGCTGCTTGAGGACTGACCTCAGATGGCTTTGTAGAAGCATCAGAGGCATGGTAACTAAACTGTTTGATGCGTCGGTTCAGAGTGGAGTAAGTGAACCATGCTTTTTTCTTTATGAAGTATTTCAGATACAGTGCCACATCATAAGCCAAAACTCCCTCAAAGATATCATGACCTAGACATGGTGGCAAGCCTGGCATACAAACGTTGAAGTATTTCAGTGAATTGAACTCTGACCTGAACTTCACTCCTTCGACGTCTGGTGTATTGTCAATCTGGAGGCGATCAACAGCAGAGTTGTAGTTCTCTTTGGTACGTTCTGGTCCACACAGATTTGGGTCAGCACCCTGAAATTCAGATTTCATTATCAGGCAGTACCTGCAGAACTTTGAAGAACTAAAGTTTTCAGTGAAGCCACCAATACAGTGAGAACCCAGATTATCACCAGCAATGCAAAACAAAGTTCCTTTGACTCTAGTTTCATCTGATGCAACAATTCTTTCAAGTCTGCCAGTAATTCAGAGAACACATTAGCATGACCAAACTCTTTAAAATCTTTCTCCCTGCACAGTAAGACAAGAGACATGTGATCTGTGTCTGAGCGTACATGAAGTGGCAAGTTTGCCACTGATGCATATACAGCTAATACCTTGTGTTTTGTCCTTGCAGAGCCTAAAGGGTTAGCGACTTCAAAGGCATCCTGGTAGAGTACTAGCTTGAGACATGATGGGTTTTGACCAAAAAAATCATTTGATTTAAACAGCTTACTATCACTTATGTCACACAGAAAATCAGCAGGAGGCTCAGTAGAGGGCTCTTCTGATTTCTGCCACAGATCAGACTCTAGCAGACATCTCAAAGTCTCTCTTAAAGGCACATAATAGGCAAACCTATCTTTTCTGTTTTCATCTCTCCCTAAAAATATTTTCTTTGGTTCCACATAGTTGAAGGCTTTTTTAAAGGTCTGAGCTCTGGAGTGCACTGTCCTCAATGGCCCGGTATAACATGCAGAAAAAAGATCATAGCTTTTGACAGACTCGCAGACTTTGTTGATGTCCTCCTCTGATAATGATGTGTCATCTTTTAACAGTGATGCAAGTTTACCCAAACTGTATGTCTGTCCCAACTCATGTATGTTCTGCATTTCCTCCACAATGTTCTGTTTGGTTGAAGCAGGCAGTAGAAACTGACCCTGCAATTTTAAGTAGAATAGTGAAACGTTTCTCAGAAAAAGATCACAGAATTCAGGGGGCATTTCCATGTTATCTTCATCTGTAATAGTCTGTGCAGCAGGCTTGGAAATCAAGGGTACAAAGTCATCTGATGTGGTTGGAACAGATGATGATTGACATGCAGACTCTCTATATAAATCACCAATGCTGCTGTCTGAAAACTCTGTGTTTACGTGACGTAAGCAGTAAAAGATGATTTAACTATTTATTTGTTTTCACAGAAAATATTTATAATTTCAACATTTTATTACAGTAAAAAACAAAGTTTTATCCAGTCTCACAATTAACGGTTATTCAATCTATTTAATACAGTAAAAGGAAGTTTTTGGTTTTAAGCTCCATTACCGTTGGAATTTGACGGTGTTTTACTGTATATTTTACTGACTTTTGTTACAGTGTGGTCTGGTAACTTTATTAGTCACACTTTGGTAGCACCAGGTTGGATCTTCTTTTGCCTTCAGATCTTCTTTGAGTCATGATTTACATTCAACAACAAGCTGAAAACACTCCTCAGACATTTTGGTCCTTGTTGACATGACAACATGACACAGTTGCGGCAAATTATTTGGCTGCACATCAATCATGTGAAACTTCTGTTACACCACATCCTAAAGCTGCACCGTTGTATTTGAGTGCAGTGAAGTCATTGTGATGTTGAAGAAACCAGCTCCAGATGGTCAAAGCTTTGTGACATGACTTATCCATCTTGAAGCAAATTCATCAGAAAATGGTACACAGAAACTGTGTTCAACATGCACACACTTCTGAACCTGGACAGCTGCACTAAAACAAATACACAGTTACAATATCTACACAGTGCTAGTCTATATAAGACAGTTTAGGGATCTGAGGCTGACTTTGTGCTTCTAGCTGGAGTCCAGCCTGTTTAATCAGAAGAAGACTGACTTGGGAAATAATGAACAGTAGATGGCAGTAACACACTACTGATGCATCTAGCCTGCCAAACCCAAAGAAGAAGAACATGGCAGCAAGATTTCGGAAAGATTCACTCACTTTTTAACAATCCCATCAAATCTTGTAGATTATGATTGTAAGAGGCCTGTCTGAACTTAATATACAGATTGCATGCTGTAGTTAACTGTGTGATTTCTGATGGTTATGTTTAAGAGGTTTGTATTGAAAGTATTTTGTGATAGTTTATGGTGGGTCATGTGATTTGGGCGGTATTGATTGCTTATTTTAGGCACCTGTTCATGCAGTGTCAGTTGGAGCAGAGAGGATTGCTGAGTTTTTGGTTCTCTTGTGTGCTTTGCTTTAGATTTGTTTCTCTTAGTTTTCTTTTATTTATAAAGATTTAAGTTTCTTTCTGTCTCAGTGAGTCACTGTTTTGGGGGGAAGGTGTCAAAAAAAAGTATTCAGGTCCAGTCTCACCTTCTCAGCAACTTTTCATTTGATCCTGAAGTTGCTGACATTTGCCAACAAAAATCCATCTATGGAAGAACCTCAACATGGAGCATGGCATCAATGATGGAGAGGATTAAAGTCAGCAGATATGGATCCAGACACGGAGGTAGGCCCTGGCTGTTAAATAATTGCTGAAGTGGAGTTAGAAGCTTCATTTACTGGTGGGTGTGCACAATAAGCTGCTGTTGTTAATTGAAAAGATTTGGCATGCATAGCCTGTTTGGGGCTGTTTGTCTGCAGTAGGATTGAATAAGCGTGGGCACAGGTGATTGTGTTTGTAATGAAATCGTGACACTGCTTTCTTCCTCCACAGTTGAACAGGGAGTCCAGTTTATGTATGCTGTGCAGTGTTGGGACTAACGCGTTATTAAGTAACGCGTTACAGTAACTACGTTATTATTGTGGTAACGAGCACGGTAACTAGTTATTATGCCAAAATCAGGAACGCGTTAGTCGTTACTGGGATTTGGATAGGCTCGTTACTTCGTGTGGTGGCTATCGCGGAGCCTCCACAGATTCAGTAACATTAGCAAGTGGTGGAGGCCAGCAGGTGGATGAAGGAAAAGAGAAGGAAAAGAGACCCGAGGCGGCCGCCGGTCCAAGTGTGAACTGAACTTCAGGTAAGAAGTTATGACCTGCAGTCTCTCTGGGTCAGATATGAACCAAGTTTATTTTCGTTATTCTGACTTTTTCCGTACTGCGTGCTAGCTAGCATGACAGAGTTTCTATACAGCTGGGTGGGTGCTATGAAGTTAATGATGTTGAACTTTATTTTGTTCATAAGTTATTAGAGTTGCCAACCGTCCCGTCTGGTATTCAGAGAAATTATTACGCGTTTCTTATTGAGGTGAAAAGGAACAGTTTGTCCCGTAATTCAGCTACAATGAAAAAGGCACAAAGCTGGAGTTGTTGTGATATTTTGATACAAAGAAGAGCTGCTCTACAGCCAAAGACTCTGGTCAGGAGAAGAGATTTTCCAGTGCCTACTCTCCTGGGTTCAGTGGGTGAAGTTGAACAGGTACATCCTAATGCAGTTTATGAACACGAGACTGGTTATCATGTCTTCAACTCTCACTGAGCTGACATCAGTGTGGTTGTTGATACTGCAAAACAGGATGGTTTAAACAGATGCTTTGAAGCCTCAGCAACAAACCACCTGCTCCAGCAGAGATGCTTAAACCAGTTTTGTCTTTTTTAGTCTGTGAAGCTGCAAAAATGGCAGACTGGAAGACTCGGATGGATTTCATCAATCTGAATCTGAATCTCAACAGGTATGTACTCAGCATTGTTGCCCAATGAGCAATGTTCAAGTGAAATCTGGTGGCAAATTGTATGAATGCAGCCAAAATGCAGAGTGTTTGTGTGATGCTATTCTGTATAAGAGTGAGCAATTTAGCCATTATTTAATTACTTTTTTGGTATCATTCAATGTTCTAAAGTGACTTGTGCCAAAGCATAACAGTAAATATGCTGGCCCATGTGGACCATATAGTTATAATCATTCCTTCTTTCAGGTGAAGACTTGTTGTCAGAACTGAAGGAGGAAGTTTAGGAAAACCAGCACATGATGCAGATAAATTTGAGCACTGTGGCTCGACAGGAGCAGGTCCTGCCTTACCTGAACACCTTTGTCAGTGATGGAGCTTCCTGTTTGTATCCAAACACTGGGTCAGTTAAAGAGGGTGGGGGGGTAAAGAAAGGCCACTTCCTCCCTTGTGTTGGTGTAGCTGAAGTTGTAGAAGTTAAATATTGCACAGTGCTGTGCCAATATTTTCTCCTCTTGCCTTTGGTGCAGTTTATCCATCTAGATTATTTTGGTATGGACAACCCACTTTTGTAGTTTTCTCTGAGCTCCGTGTCTCTGAAAAGTAATGTTTCCATCCTAAAGAAATCCAGACTGTGTTACAGATCTACTGACCTTGTAGGAATTCTTCTTTCCTCTGAACTACATCTGCTAACCATATCAGTGTCCTGGAGGAAGCACGTAAAGGCTTTGAACAAGAAGCTTGACTTCATGACAGGCTTCATGCTTCTTTGTAGTTGGCAGGTGTAGACACTGCACCAGATTTCTGAGTTTCAACAAATTCATGCATTTCAATAATATTTGGGACTAGAAAAGGTGGCAGTCAAGAAACAGGCAGTGCTTCATTTAACAAAGTCAATATTTACAGCAGAAAAGATGCAGGTCTAGATCATTGGCTTTAAATATTTATTAAAAACCCTGGACTAACCTCCAGCCTTAAAGTCTGTCATGTCAAGAAACATGAACAGAACATTTAAAATGGCTGTCAGATAAAATCCACAGCAAACCTGATATGCTGCCAGTGCCAGCTAGTTTCCATGTTGGAAAAACACAGATGTGGAAGTGCTTTAAATTTCTCTGGAAACCACCAGCATGTGGTTTCACAATCAGACCTCCACGCATCATATTTCTGCCATGTTGTTTTTGAGACCAGTATGGCAAAAATCCTCATCTTGAGGCTCCAGAATGAGAATTCACAAACAAAAGGGGGCAGTAACAGCAGCTACAGCCATCTCTATGCTGTTAGCAAGGCTCTCCACTTTGTGTAGAAACTTGCACTGTGAAGTCCGGGGTTGTTTACATTCAATGCGGTGCTGAAGACACTGGTGTTGCAATCATTGGAAGATGTAACAAAATGAAACTAAACACATTTTCATCTCTTAATGTTATATACAAATCTCTGATGGTGCTCTCTGATTTTCATTAGACTTGTTAACAATTAGAAGGAAACCCAACATTGAGAGTCTTAGGAAGATAATCACAGAGGCAGAAACTTTAAAACTGTATCATCTCAGGTTTCTTAAAACTAAGTATTCAAAGTCTGAGGTAGGGTTGTTATTTGAGGTATTCCTGGGAAAATCTTTGAGGTCTATTTTGAAGCTCCAGATTCTTTAGATTGACTGTCTCATACTTTAATTGTGAATAGAGGATTGTAGCTCAAGTTAACATGGAAAGATAGAGGTCTAAAGTCTCTAAAACATTTGGGTATTCAGTCTCTGACAGAAGGTTTGGAGACATGTAGAAAGTTTTGAATGGGTGAAACTAATATTTTATTTACAGTTTCTCAAACACAAGGCAGATAATATTCTTCATGTACATTATTTTTTTTTACAAATATTGGAACAACGAAATTAAACAAAACATTTTCATGAATTCATCTCTTAATGTTCTACACAACTTCTCATGGTGCTCTTATTTTCCAGTTTGTGTTTTGGATAGACTAAAATGTATTTACAATAGCCAGAGTTGACTGATTTCAAATATTTCTAAAATCCAATGGTTTAAAAATAAAGGTCCGAAAATTCACCCTGTTCCTTTTATTTACTGAAAGAGATCAAATCTGAGACTGTTATGTTGAGCTATAAAAGCAAGAATAGTAAAAAATTTAATACAAAAAAGCTGATATACATTAGTGTCTGTAATTAAAGGAGCATTAGCAGCTGGCAAGGCTCTCCACTTGCTCCTTCAAAACTTGTATTGTGAAGCCCGAATTTGTTTACATTCATACCAGTGTTTAAAACAACAGGGTTGAATTCATATCAGTTGTCCAGTGGCATCGACCAGCCAAACATCTGGTATGTTGTTGTTGTTTTTTTTTGTTTGTTTGTTGTTTTTTGTGGAGGGTCCATTGAGGTCCAGGCACAACCTTGCCCACAGGATGATGATAGGGGCCCTGATAATTTGCACCATTTGTGATTGAGTTTACCTCCAGATGTTGGGTGTACTCCCTGAAACTGAATCACTGAAAGATGCAGAGTCAGTTCTTGTGTAATTATAGTCAATACATTTCACCAAATGCAATTAATTCCCAAGATAATGACTGAACTAAAAACAGTTCTGTTTAATAATTGGAGATACTTGCATGAAGTGGGACGCCCTGATTGAGATGCTGAGAATCTGGACTCCTCCTAAACTTGCTCCTTCTGTTTTGAACCAAGTCTTCACCTAAAGATGGAAGAAAACAGAAAATATTTAATGAGTACAATAGACCCAAAATTCAAAATGAATTCAGTTTCTCATGTTCTAGTAACCTTGAAAAACACTCACCTGTTTGTAGGTCAGTCCTGTCACCTCTGTCATCTCCCGTGGGTCATGGTAACGTTTTTGGTTAAAGTGATGGACAAGAGGTTTTTATCTGGCTGTCTGAGAACAGCCCCCGGGTCCTTCCTTTGACCACCTGGGTCTTTTCTTCATTCTCTCACACAGTGCTTTTGACATTCTGGTTCTGTGGGACAGCAAAACTGTTCCTCTGTGACAGAGCTGGAAACAGCTTCAGCAGCCTCAAAGATGTTGTTCCTCGTCTCCTTATTGAGAGCACTCCCCACCCATGCAGTGAGCTCTGCCATGGGGAGACTTCCTTCAAGGCTGCTGCCAGAACTCCACAAGTCTATATGGTCCACATGGCTCAGCTCATCTGTGGTGCCATGAGTGACTTTAGAAAAGCCAATTATACCAGGGTAAACTGCTGAGTGGATTTTAAGGCCTAGAGTTGGTGTAGGCAAGAATGCACAGGACTGAAAAAATCATTTTTCCCTCATTGATCCACATTCATTGATTCATTGTTTAGAAAACTGGGGGGAAAAATAACACTTAGTGTTCCTAAAACTTTTCACCTTATTTTACTGAATATTCATCTTTGTCTGCAATTTATCATTTTAACCACTAATGTCTGAAAAAAAAGAGTGTAATCTCACAGACCTGTTTGTAGGATTGGGTGGCAGGTTCTCCATTTCTTTATACCAGTGATGTCAAAGTGATGCTGCAAGAGGTCGTTTATAAATTTGTAATCAGCTGTGTAAGATGGTAGCCTGGTATCATCTGCATATTAACTCACCTCCACATTTACTGTGGGAAATGGCCACTGATGTGTGAGTGGGTTTGTTTCACAACTGCTGTGAGCCAGTGGCTGTGATTGGGCTGGGTTCACTGAAGGCAGGTGTATTTGATTGCACTCTAGTCTAGTCTACTTATACTCCAGACTACAAGTACTGCTGTTAGTGATGGCCAAATGAAGCTTTCTGAAGTGTTGAAGCTTGTATTGGCCAAAAGTATGAAGAGCAGCTCGAATCTACAACTTTGAAATGAACTGCTTCATTATCATTGCCCAGTCACAGCTTCTGTTTAACATCATGTGATAATTCTGTCTGATATCAGGCTAACGTTGTGGTGCTTTGAACCTGTATTTTTCTCTGTGTGACACAATTTTGTCTGTTTCATGAATAAATGTGATGAATAAATTTGTTTAAACATGAACAATGGTGTGGTCTCCCTTTACTAGTGATTTAACATTTGTAAACATAACAGACCAAAAACATACAAGAATTTGCCTCCACTTAGACTTCTTCTGTTCTTTGGATTCATCATCAAACCATAAAGTGCTCTGCTGTGAGAATAATCTCTGAAGACTTGGTTTAACTACAATTAAATATAATAAACGCACAATATTTGGGCCTTTGTAAAAATTCCATCAGTAGTAAACTGATGATAAATAACATGGAAAAATATTTTTCTTTAATCCCTTGAACTGTTTTTATTTATTAAATAATGATGATGATATAGGAACCTCAATTGATTCAGCTAATAAAAGCGAGTCTCATCTCAAACCATTACCTGCTGGAAGGTGTACAGGACCTTAAAGATGCAATTTCTAAAAATGTATATTTTTCACCAAACAAAACAGAATGAAATTCAATTATTTTGATTCCTGTTCAACTAATATTTGCATCACTTCTAACAGTTTTCCTGTAATATAAGTTCAAAGACGACAGTATTAAAAGTACAGAACTGTAATTTTGGTTGGACGTTGCTGTAATTGTCTCAGAAACTAGAATTGTGTGAGCTGTGGGCAACAGCAGTTAATGATGGTCCATTTGAAGCTGAAGCTCCAGCACATGGATAGCATCACGGTGCTGCAGAAATACTGTGTCGGGGCTTGGTACGTCTGACCAGAGACGTCTGAAGTTTCTTTCAGTACGTCACTGCTTCAGTCCTTGACTCAGTGGTTTATAAGGAAGTGAATCACTGGTGGAATTTGTGGTGTGTGTGTGTGTGTGTGTGTGTGTGTTAGTGATTTTTTTTTTTTTGCAAGAGATCAGTGTGCAACATATTGACATACATTATTGGTCAATGACAAGTATTTTTATTGTCAATTGGGAAGAAATTGACCTCAGTGTGTTAAGGGTTTTTTTTTTTCTTTGTTGCTTCTTTTTGCTCTGTTTGTCTTTTCCTTTTCTTTTATAATAGAAACTGATCAAACTTTTATTTAAATTCTGAAGAGAGTGACCTACCTGAGGTCACAGAGATCTTAACCACTGACTCTAACTTCCAAAATCTAGTCAGTTGTTCTTTGAGGCCCTGCACATGTTTTTGCCAAATTTGAAAAAAATCTCAGTGGCGTTCAAGAAAGCTTATTTTCAAAACATGCACCAGAATCATAATGTTACAGAGGTCTGATACGTAATCCCATCAGTCAGGGAGTAACAAGAGTTTGTTTGTTGTTTAAAATTGCTGCCTTTCTCCACTCTAACCCTGCTGCTGTTCTCCGCACTATAATCACTTCTTAACCTTCTCTGTGCTGCTGGTTCTTGGAACCATTTTGCTGGATCCTGACAGTATTCTGGCATGTTGATACACCTCTCCTGTTTTGAGAGGAGAGGTTTTAGTTCCAAAAGATGAAGAGCAAACTCCAGATGTATCACAATGTGCAAATAAAGCAGCACCCTTTGTCTTCCTCCTGCTGTTGTTTATTAGGTTGGTCCTGACATCGTGTTTTAAGTCTTATTTGTGTTTTGTTTGTTCTTTTCATCAGTTTGGAAACTTTTCCCTTCAACATTGTTATATCCTGCTGCCATTTGGTTTTACTACGTCTCTTCCTAAATAGAAGTTGCATCAGTGATAGCAGAGATATCTAAACAACCTCTGCATGTTCCATGGGAATTTCTAAGCCTGCACTTATTCCAGTGTTGAATACTCAAGTGTCAATTTAAAATTCTTTGGTTTTGTGGTTCCTTTGAAGTGGTTTTATTTAGGATCCTTATTACTCTTTTTTTGCTCAAAACATGGGTGTGTGTATTATAGGTGACTGATATATCCATAATGTGGAGTATCCACAATAGTTTGTGATGTATTATCACCCCACTAAGTTTTATTTCAGATATTTTATTTTAATTCTGTTATTTGTCATCAGGAGTTTTGTTTTGCTCAGATTGAGTGTTAATTGATTATAGAAAAAACAAGTCTTCAATTTTTTTTTAAACCCTTTTTTCAGTTCATTCAGAAGTTGTTCCAAGTTACTTCCACAATAACTTTGTATCATCTGCAAACAATATCACTTCTGTGTCTTTGAAATTACTTCAAATTAAGACATGTTAACACAAACACATTTAAAAAATAAAAACCTTACCCATTTATATCTCATGGCCCTGGTGCCATCTGTCTGCATTGACTTGATAATTAATCAGAGGTAGCAGGGTGTGATACAGGAACTCTAAAAAGACACATTAGCGTATGTTTGGTGGTCACTGGGTGAACTGGGTACGTCTCTAACTCTGAATGAGCCAAAGGGGGCCAGATGCATGTGTCTGTGGGTTTATGATGAGCGTTGGTGTAGATCGTTAGCCTTGCTATTGTTGACGTTGACTTATGGCTCCGAAAGACTTGGTCGTTGTGTCCTTGGCAAGACACTTCACCCGTTGCCTACTGATGGTGGTCAGTGGCGCCAGTGTCCGGCAGCCTCGCCTCTGTCAGTGCGCCCCAGGGCAGCTGTGGCTACAATGTAGCTTGCCATCACCAGTGTGTGAACGTGTGGATGACTGGATGTATAAAGCGCTTTGGGGTCCTTAAGAACTAAGTAAAGTGCTATACAAATACAGGCCATTTATGTGGGTGTTTTAATTTCAGAGACTTTTACAATGTAGAGGTGCATTTCAAAGAAGGTGAAACTAATATCATTGTGATATTCAGTGTCATATTTTTTAATAGTTTACCCGAGTGTGAAAACCTTGGTTTGGCCTCTAAAAGCTGCTGTGGGGGTTTACACAGAGGCGCAACTGAACACCTGCAGGTCAAATTAGTGTGAGGATGCATTTGCAAAAATGCTCTGTGAGTGGAAAGTTCTTTGGGTGATCTAATACTGCGTTAATTAATGCAAACATGGAATCAGTTCAATTCAGTAATTAGCTGCTAAGTGCTGCTCAAACATGAGCACACCAGTGAGGGAAACAATTCCTATATTAAAATGTTAATAAAAGTAATAAAAGATACTTTGCAGCTGAGGAAAACCTTTGTTACTCTGAGAAATACATCAAGTCCATCTTGTTCCAATTTACTGTAGACTTATTTACAAGGAGTCACCAGCCCCTCACCCCACACTTCAAGCCCGCTTGAGTAGAAATTCTGTACCCAGGTTGGAGATCACACTGTCATTTCTTGAAGTATCAGTGATTAAAATATAAAATTTCAGGCATTAAGTGTTTCATATTTTATAAAGTGTGAGCTGGAAGGATTTGGTAAAGCTCATTTGTACGGCTGCTTTCTAACTGTACTTTCTTTTTTCAGACTGGAGAAACAGCATTTTAAAGAAATGTAAATGATGCCAGTTGGTAGAAAGAGCCTGACTGCTTGTAAAGTGACTCACAAAAGAAGAAGCTCAACCCCCCACATTCCTGCCCACACCCACAAACCTCCTTAAAAGCCCAGAATTACTCTTAAGTCTTAAGTCTGTCAGTCTTAAGTCACCTTCCTGCCTGGTTTGGAGCTCTTTCATCAGAGATACTTTCTCCAGTTTTCCTGTTTTAATCACTGGGATTTCAAAGATGGAAGATTATGGGATGCACTTTTCTCCAGGTATGTACTCAGCATTGTTGACTGGTGAGCTAATATGAACAGAGTTGGCTAACCTCTAAGACAACGTGCAAAAATACTCTTTTACTCTGTGTTGTAAGTCCAGATGGCAGAAGTCACCATTTCTCCCTCCGCAGTTGAACAGAGTCCACTTTAAATCCTTTTTGGTTTTAAAGAATCTACAAATATCCGACTTCTTTTTTTTCTCTACTTTGTGGGAACCTTTTGTGTTTAAGATTCATTGTGTTGATGCTCAGTCATCAGGTAAGTAAATCCCTGAAGCTTGATTCAGTTCACCTGGATGTAATGTTTTCAATGGGAGAAATGTTTTGTGACTTCGTCAGTCTGAGACCTTTTGGGATTTAAGACTCATAATTTAACCTTTGTTTATTATTTCTGTTAGAAAGTCAGTCGTGCCAAAACATATCAGCAACTGACTCATGTGGACCATATAGACTTGTTCTTAATTGTTCTTGTTCTTAAAATAATTACCCCCAGGGATCAATAAAGTATTCTGATTCTTACTTTGCCTCTGTCTCTTTACCCTCACAGACTCGTGGAGTTCAGGCAGCAGCCCTGAAGGGAGTCTATCCTTGGAAGAACTCGCTACATGGGCAGAGAGTGCTCTAAAAATGGAGATGAGCAACAAAACTACCTCTGAGGCTGTTTTCATCTGTGGTTCAGTTTCAGGGAGAGGGACAGCCCCCACGCAGGGAGTCGTATACCCAGCACCTAGAGATGATCACAAATGGTCCAAATTATCACGCCCCCTATCATCATTCTGTGGGCAATTTTGCAGCTGGACGTCAATGGACCTTCCCCACCTCACCCCAGATGTTTGGCTGGTCAATCCCACCAGGCAACTGACATTATGATTGCAACACCAGTGTCTTCAGCACTGCATAGAATGTGAACAACCCCGGACTTCACAGTTTTTACAGAGAAAGCGGAGAGCCTTGCTAACAGCTAAAGATGGCTGTAGCTACTGTTACATCTCTTTCATTTCTCAACTATCATTCTGAAGCCTTAAGATTGGTATTTCTGATATACTGGACGCTAATGTTATTTTTTTATGTTTTCATTTTAATGTAAAGTTATTTAAAAGTTAACACAGAGGCAGGTTTGATAAAACTCAGTGAACTTCTTCGTCATTTACACAAAAACAAGGAAAAATTAGCTTGGTCATAGTTGGTGGGGTAGATTAAGGCTTGTGTCAGTGATTGATAAAGTCCACTTTTTATATGGTGTAACTGTTGTAAAGTCAACATGAATCTGTAATGATTTTTCTTCCAATAAATGAGGACTTTGCTAAAACGAAATACTTTCTCCATGCGTCATTTTTATTGAGTCTCAAACATATTTGGTGTTAAAGTGTAATGAAATCTCATGTTTGGTTTCTCATCACAGGTGGG